GTTCATTAATACAGTCAACCCAATGAAGTTTTAATATGAAAAATGTGCACTAAAAATACTTTTGTCGTCTTTTTTTTTTTTTTTCACAAAGCAAACCTAATATGCAAGAAAGAAAATCGCAGTACGAGTAAGTGCTTCCCGTTTCTGCAGACAAAGCACACTTGGCTCGAGTTTATTCCACCGCTGACCCTCCGATCGAGCGACTTCCGCCACAGATCCATAGATCAGAATGGACCTTTCCCGGAACAGCGAGGGCACGTGGCGGTAGATGCGGAACAGTCTTATGAGCTATGGAGGGATAGACAGCATTTCCCGAGCAGCTAGTTCAAGGCCGGACTGGGCTTGCAAATAGCAGTGGACGGCGGTACCCTTCATGCGCCGCCAGGGTGATGAAAAAAGCACGAGATGATTTAAATCGCACCATTTGTCTATGATCATTTAAATCGAGCACTTTACCCTCAAACAGTCCCAAAAATATTTTCAAATTACCGTTCGTCCCTCATTGTACGCCTTCTATGGTTATATGTTTTGTGTTTGAAGCCAAGAATGATCAAGCAAGAAAGCAATATTTATATCGGAGCCATTTAAAGGGGTCTTGAAACGATATCGGTTTGGAATGTTCATGACTTTGCAGGGGCGGACTGGTCCTAGCCTGGCCCAAGTATACTCGGACAGACCGCCACTGATGCAAAGCTCTCTTGGTCGCGGTTAAATTGCCAGGATAAAAGGGGACCATTTCTTTCAGTCTTGATACCGCAAAGATTGATGACGTAATTGCGGGATCGAAACCACCCGCCTGACGACAGCCGAGCGCGGCTCACGAATGGGACGCGAGAACTGCTTGAGCATTCGACATCGGGCTCGTAACAATCAATGCCTCGACGGACACTCGGGTAGTGGCTCTTGTCCAACCACTGCGTTGATAAGAATAGCCAAACTCTAACAATGCCTAAGGCTCAGCACGCGTTTTCTTCTCTTCCGAGCCAGCGCGTGGCTATGATTAACGTCGGAGGCATAGGATAGGCACCAGGACACGTGGCCGCTTGTTCTGGCTCCGACTTGAGGGGATGGACGATGCTCATATTTCTCGAATTTACTTACCGACTGCCATTGCTTAAAAACAACAACTAAGGCAAGTTTATTTGGTTATTAACGTTAGGAAGTGATTCTAAGTAGTATTTAGCGAAAGTAAAACCTTTCTCCCATCTGCCTGCAGGACGAGAAGAACGTCTCGTTCCTCCCTTCTTCATGTGTCCGTTTTAAGGCGAGTCAGTAGAAGGGAGAAAAATGCGCCGTTGCTACCCTTTCCTCCATTTTGTTGTTAGATTGCGGGACGGCGAAAACCGTCTACGAAAACTCCATAACGATACACGACTGCACGCCGGTACGATGCTCGTCCAGCTCGAAACGAGCAGCGGTGAGGAATGGTGCGTATCTCGGCTTCGTCGCATTATTTTTGTCTATAGACCTTTGCAAAAAGAGCGCTCTGGCCGCCGCCATTTTGCGAATCGAGCGACCCCTATCAGCCAGAAATTTCTGGCACCCGCCTGAGCTGTGGAAACCCGGTCAGCGTGACTCCCCACCTGCATTTTGCATTCGGAGTTCGCTGGCTTTTCTTGGAAGTTTTTATTTTATTCGCCTGTTTAGGGTGCTTACCCTTTGTGCGTTATCTTCCACTGTGAGAACCAGGGAATACCAAGGCTCGTAGCCTGCTCGGCCTTCGCAGGAAACGAACGAAAAGAGCGAACGTCAAGCAGCCCGCGACGCAGGCAGTTCGACGTGCTTGGAGGATTATTTCCGTTGAGATAATCTCCAAAAAGCCTTCCCCGCTGTGTTCCGGGTCTTCGCGAAAAATAGCTGATAGGGTCGGGTCCGGGAACAGAATAGACACGTTCATTCATTTGCTTTGAAGCTGTGCAAAAAAGCTGCTCTCGTCTACATGTTCCCCAAAACACGCCGGATTCCATCCGATTGTCGTGAAGTGACTATCGTCGACACTGTATATTGGATATGCTGTGTTATTTGAGACCTTTCTCAAATCCTGTTCGGATAACGCGGCACCGTGGGGTACGTACAATATATGTTGTTCGATTGATGAGACTCGTTGAATTTCATGTTGTGGGCGGGGAATATCCATGCAGTTCGGATATCCTGTGTGGTCAAATATTCTGACCTGTATAGATTGACACGGCAGAGTGTACGGTGCCGTAAAACGATGAACATAAAATGAAACAAATATTCCAGTTGCAATTGTTCTGTCGCGCACGGACTCACCAAAACAACTTTCATTTCTTTGTTTTTGTGCCCAAAAAGAGAGCACTGCTTCCTTAAAGACCTCTATAAATTAAGTTCGCCACAGAACACAAAATAAAAAAGAAAACGCGGCAATTCAGCCGCTACCAGCGTCCGGAATCGCGCCTACGTAGGCTGCCATAGCCCACTGACTAGAAACTCCACAGCTCAGCGCAGTCGGGCAACACTGACGTACACTCTCAAAACCAGGGACGCGCGCTGTAAATCGCTTCGTTCGAGACTGCCGCTGGAAAGGTCTATACTGAGGCAGTATGAGTCCTTGAATTTTATCGATGGTACTTTTTACCATTGATATTGCTCACGTATGTTGCGAAAACAACAACATTTTGTGTACCTTTTTCTTTCCTATTGCATTTTGCAATACGACATGGCTAGTAAGTGTTCCAAGATGAGTCTGTAGCACATCGGAGTGCAAGGACACCGATCAAAGGGCACGTAGAGAACGCCCGGGGAAGGCTCGACGACCAGGCAGCCCTGTGCGCGCCGCCATTGGTTCACGTCGGGGGACAAAAACACGTGGACTCATTTGGCAGGTAAACGAGCGCACGAGGTGCGCAACGAGCAGACCAACTTGCCTAAGGTATAAAATATGTTGCGGTTGCCCACTGCTTTTGAGTCCCGACGGGAAGAAAACTATGGCCGAGCTCAGGGCCGTACACAGAAAATTTCTTTGGGGGTGGTGGGGGGTTTCTGGAACACGGTGGCCATCTTGAATAGCTGTTTTTTGTATTTACCTTTGAAAAAAAAAAAAAAACGTATTTACTCGCAGAATGAACGCACTTTTTTTCCCGAAAAATCGATGCAAAGTTAGGGGGGGCGGGGGGGGGGGGGGGGGGGCGTTCATTACGCGAAGTAAAATTTTTGCGTCCGTATTTATCGCATAATGAACAGACCGTTTTTCCTGAAAAATCGAAGTGACTTCTTATCTCTTTGCACGCGGCGCCCGACCCTGTAACGAAACTAAGCTGTGCAAAAAAAAAAAAAACTCGTTTTTTTTTCCTTGGTTTTCGTTTTGTTTTGACGCCTTTCGCAAGCTGTTTTGTTTGCTTAGGCGTTGCTTAGGCGAGGGCTGTCCGCTTATCTTTCTTATCTCCTTGCGCGCGGCGCACGACCCCCCCCCCCCCCCCCCCCCGTAACCAAACTGGGCTGTGCAAAAAAAAAAAAAGAAGAAAAAATCTTTTTCTTTTGTTTTTTTTCCTCGGTTCCGTGGGTTTTTTTTTTTTTTTTTTTTTTTGCCGCCTTTCGCAAGCTGTTTTTTTTTTGCTTAGAGGGCTTCTCCGCTCCTCTTTCTTACCTCCTTGCGCGTTAAGGCTCGTTCACACTCTTGCAACCGAGTACGACTGAGAGAAACAGAGACCGGTTTTTAATCCTCTTGCGACTTCTTAGGACGGGGCGCGCTGCTGCGGAGCTGGTTCTAAGACGTCGTAAGAGGATTAAAAACCGGTCTGGTCTCTCTCGGTCGTACTCGGTTGCAAGAGTGTGAACGGACCTTTAAACGCTAAAGAAGAACGAGCAGCGTTCACCCCCCTCAACTCGCAGCCAGAACAAGCGGCCACGTGATCTGGAGTCGATTATATGCCGCCAGTGTTGATCATAGCCACGCGCTGGATTTGGCAAGGCGCAGGACACGCGCTGAGTTCCAGACATTTTTATGGTTCGGCTATTGTCGTCACTGCAGCGACTGGACACGAGCCACTGTACCCGAATGCTTCTCGAGCCATCGATTATCATGAGCCCAAATTGAGTGCCTACGTAATGCTCGGGTCCAATCTATGAGCCGCATTCGAAATCGTAACTGGGCAGTACTGCGACCAACGTTATTAGATTAGTTCAGTTACGGAACTGCTCATAGACGCTGCATGCACGAGCAGTACCCCCCTCACTCACCACGACTCGCCTGCCGTCGCTTGACGCGCCGGTCGACTGTCTTGGAACTGCAGTGTATTCTATGGGATACGTACGTTTCGAAGCACGGCGTCTAGATGGCGTTTCAGCTCTGCTCTATGGAGCGCACAGTTATGAAACGAAAATCAAGATGGCGCTTCGAACGACGGCAGGCGGATTGAAGTGAATGAGGGGGGTACCCCTTCCATGGGAGTTCCACAACTGAGGTAATTTAGTAACGTTGACTGCGACCGCCCAGCTATGCCATCAAGTTTCGCGAAGGAGAGATTGAATGAAAACGTTCCCTTTTGTCCTTGAAATTACATCGCAACAAAGGATTTTCTTGGCCAGTGGCGTTGCGTGCGAGTATCCTTGAGTCCCAGTAGTGCCAGTAAGCTCGTGTAAAGTGAAATACATTCAATTGAATATCGTTGCACCGCTCCTTTAAGTGCCCACATGATTGAACTGGCGCGTGACTTGTGCCGATTCGTAAATCTAAAAGAAATTGGAAGTGTATTCACTTTGAAGCATTGAGAAACTGGATTTCGGAGTTTATAAAAAACTGAAATGAATTAGCAAAGTATGCACCATACTGAGCAGTATATCATGAATACGGTCTATTACGCAATAACAAGTTAGTACTGAATGAATAAATGAAACGGTT